TATTTTATATTTATATTATTATTATATTATTATTATATTATTATTATATTATTAATTTATATTAATTATATATATATATATATATGTGTGTGTGTGTGTGTAATATGTCGTGTCGTACGCACAGGTGGATATATATATATATATATACGCAGGTATGGGTTTTTTTTTCTTTTTATTTTTTTTCTTTGAATTTTTTCTTTTTTCATTTTTTATTTTTTGTATTTTTCTATCGATAAAGGGAATATCATCACCATCATCCTCTTCGCGTAATATCAATTTTACTTCGGTGACGTTACAAAAGCGGCAAAGACACGACGAAGAGTAAAGGGTGTATCGGAGAAAAAGAGAGAGAGAGAGAGAGAGGGTGGAAGGTAGGGTTGGTTCTTCGTCGAATAACGCGCTGTCTCTCCTATCCGATAATAGAAAAGAGGAATAGATCAAATCGAAAGCAGAAAAAGAAAAAGAAAAAAAAAGAAGGATAGATAAGAAGAAAAAATAGAAAACGTACCAAAAAAAAAAAAAAAAAAATTAAATCGAAATGGGACGTTAAAGGACCAGAAAAGGAATATCCTAAAGTCCACATTAAACCTTAAATTAATTCATAAAATTGAATACAAACAAAAATAAGTAACAAATACCAGAAAGAGAGAGAGAGAGAGAGAGAGAAAAGTAAAAAGAAAATAGATGAACGAGTAATAAAAATTTACCCCCTTCCCCTCACCCCTTTTTTTAATATACGAAAGCTCGTATATATATAAAATTGAAAATGAACAAAATAATATTTTGTATCCTCTTAACTAACACCGAACTACACATATTCACATTTAAAGAAGACACACGATGAACGAACACATACACAGATATATAATATATATATACACACGCGTGCGCGCACGTACATATTAGACATGTCGGAACAAACCTCTGGGTTCATTAGACTCGACGGTGGTGCTAATTATGAAAGGTACGTCGACGATTGGCTGCACTCGGAATCTTTGTACTCGATCGTTTTCTTTTTCTCTCTCTCTCTCTCTCCCTTTCTCACCCTCTCTCACCCCTTTTTATCCCCCGTTCGTTTATTTTTCTTTTCTTTTATTTTCTTTTCTTTCTTTCTTTTCTCTTTTTTTTTACTGAGACTTTACGTAGGACCCGTTGAAAAATACAACAACAACAACAACAACAACAATAACAACAATAATAACAGTAATAATAATAATAACAATAATAATAATAATAATAACAATAACAACACGAACGATACGTACGCTGATGCACGAGGACGGGGATGAGGACGAGGACATAGAGAGCCGCGGATTTGTTTTACACCCACCCACGCACACCCACGTACACACACCACTAATAACCAAAAAAGAAAAAAAAGAAAATGAAAATTGTTTAAAAAGCACAAAAGTAACAAATGACGAGGAGTCGCGCGTTGGCGTACGCACGCATGCACGCACGCACGCACATGCACGCACCCACGCACGTAAAGCACACGTTAACGCAAAAATTATTTTCTTTCCCCTTCCACCTATAATTCTTCTCTTCTTTTTCTTTTTTATTATTTTTCTATTTTTTCTTCTCCTTCTTCTTCTTCTTCTTCTTCTTCTTCTTCTTCTTCTTCTTCTTCTTTCACGAATCTCACTACACTCTCTCTCTCTCTCTCTCTCTCTCTCTCTCTCTATCTCTCGTTTTCTTGTAGCTTTTTCTCTCGTGTTCTCTTTCTATTTCTATTTCTATTTCTCTTTCTCTCTTTCTGTGTTATCAGCACGTTATCATACACGAGTATGAGTATAATGGAAGGGAGCGTTATATTTCAGCGTGACGAGTGCCATTAGAATAAGGCTAATCGAACGGGGAATATTATGTTTGGGTTGTCCCTAGTTTTCAACAGGGTGGCGCTAAGCAAGTAGGGCGCAGGCGCAGGCACAACTTATGGTCGAAAACACTGACCTGATTCAATCATTCTCGAGTGAAGGGTAAAAACCGTCTCGGATAAGGTTCCAAAGGGATGAGAAAAGGCGTACTATGAGAAAAGCTTCACTTATTAGAAAAAAAGAATAAGATAAAAAGAGATTTTACTGCACGAAATTCAACTGGAATGGTTTGACAAAGCTAAGAATAAATCAAACGACAAAAAAAAAAAAGAAAGAGATAATTTAGGTGCCGGTTATTTTTACTACGATGAAAAATGTCTTTAACTAGCCTAACCACCCACCCTTCACCCCACCATCAACCAGTTTTTACTGTCACAGTTTTTTTTCTTTCGACGTACACCAATTTAAAACAGACCAAACTAATAAAACGTTTGATAAAGTATGAAAGGAAAATAAAATGAAAAAAAAAGAGATGAAAGGATGGAATTCGTTGTTAATAATCTGAGGGAGGGAAGGGGTGAAGTCTTACGATTAGTAAACAACGTCAGGCAAACGTAATCTTATATTGGAAGCTGCTTGATTTGAGGACACGTTTCAGAAAATAAAGAAGAGGAGAATGTAAGTTTAGGTTATAGTCAATCATCACGAATCTATGTTAGAGAAAAGCCATAAAAATGCCATGATATCTCACATTTTGTACACATACACAACTATTACGATTATTATTATTATTACGACGATGACTACTACGACTACAACGACGAAAACGAAGATGTAGAGTTAGATGATGATGATGATGATGACAATGATGATGATGACGATGATAATAATGATGATAATGATACACGCGATCCTAGCGAACAACTCACTTCTCTCATGGCGCTGTCGCGCGACGACAGTGGATAAAGTCGACGACTGGTCAGACAGAAGCGGGGTAAAAAGGAAGTCGCCAGTCGTCTTTTCTTTCTTTCTTTGCCTTCCTTCCTTCCTTCCTTTTTTTTCTTTCTTTCTTTTCAATTGAGAGACTTAACGACGAATGGAAGAAATGAAAAGAGACAGAGACAGAGATAAAGATAAAGAGAGAGGGTAAAGGAAGAGCAAGAATAAGAAGAAGAAGAAGAAGAAGAAGAACGAGAGAGAAAGAGGATCGTGCCTTTTGACATTGCTCGCGTACTCGAGCGAAGCATGCGGGGTGGTGGTGGTGGTAGTGGTGGTAAGCTAGTACAAGAGGATCGGCTACCACCGTTTTGCTGGTGTCACGAGGTCACGACGTCAAGGAAGTAGGTCAGGCGAATTGTGTTTCGGACATACACGACCAGAGATAGATTCCAATTGGACACGAACTATAACGCGAGATGTACGACGACCGATGAACCAACTAACAAACGTTAGAACGAACCAACGAACGAACGAATGAACAGACGACAACGCGATATCACTGTAAAACACTTGTTCATTTTATTTTGTCTTCTCTCCCGAAGGGGCTAAGGACCTAACCACGACCGAACTAGAAACGGGGGTGGGATGATGGGGATATGATAAATATGTATACACATGTGTGCGTGCTGCGTTCGTTCCTTCTTTCCTTCGTGCGTGCCTCTGCGTGTGCGTGTGCGTATGCGTGTACGTGTACGTCTGTCTCTGCATGTGTTGTAGATATCTGTGTATAGATAGATGTATGAGATATGTATGTATGTATATATGTATAAACGTAAGGTCTATATGCATGTATGATAGAGGTACCGATAGCGCAAAAGCGATGCGTCAATGAATATAGAGAAAAAGGGATGATTGCGTACCTCTCTTGCCATTACGTCATATCCCTGCAGGTAAGGGACCGTCCCAGCAAGCACACTTATTCAGAGAGAAAGGAGTAAAGGTGCACGTCGTCGCATTATCGTTGCGACGGGATGCTGCTCGTGCGGTGCTCGCTATCCGCCCAGCCTTGCGCGCTCTTTCTCTCTCTCTCTTTCTCTCTCTCTCTCTTTCTCTCTCTCTCTTTCTCTCTCTCACTCTCTCTCACACTCTCTCTCTCTCCTCCACCTCCTCCGCCTCCTCCACCACCACCACCACCTCCACCCCTTTCGCTCACTCCAGGCTCGTTCTTCTCCTTTTGCCACACACCGAATCACCGTAGGATGCGACACCGTGCTCTCCTCTCCGCCCCCTCAACTAAGTCCCCCCCTCTCCGTTCGTCTTTCTGTTAAACCCCCTAGACCACCCACCCTATTTCTCTTTCTCTCTCTTTCTCTTTCTCTTTCTCTTTCCCTCTGTCTTTCTCTTTCTCTCTGTCTCTCTGTCTCTTCTTTCGGTTCGCGTTCCCCCCTATTAACGCGCCGGTCATACGCGAGCAACCACCGAACGGCGGGTACAGCTCATTCTTGAGCAGCTCGCCATACGATTACTCGATCTAAGATTTCACTAGCGCATATGGGTGCAAATTGTAACAGTGGCTTCCTCCCAGCGGTTACTGCGGCGACTCCTAGTTTTAGATCGATTCTCTTCTCTCGGTGTACGTACGGACGTCCTACCCTCTCTCGCCCTCGCCCACCCTCGCCCACCCTCGCCACCCTCACCTCACCCTCACCCTCTCTCGGACTCACCCGCAACAACCTCGCCCCACTCGCGCTCGCTCTTGCCCGACTACTCCGCCAGCTCTCTCTTCCGACTGCTTCCTCGTTCTCCGTCGTTCCCTTCCTTTCGCCCTTCCCTAACCTTCTCTTCCACCACCAAACCCCCATCCCACTAAACATCCCCTTGCCCCTCAAGCTTCCTACCATCCCATTTAATTCTCACCTACTACCGTTGGCTCCCTCTCTCTGTTTGCATTTTATTTTATTTTCCTGCCTACTCTCTTCACTCGTCTCGTGTCACATTAATGTTTTAATAGTTTAATATTATTTTTATTCCTAGATACAAAATATGTATCTGTATATGTCTATTAACAAAAATGTAAGCTTTCAATATTACTTTCCAAGTCAAAATTCTTTAAAAACTATGACCTAACGAGGGGTTGAAAATTTGAATAAAAAATATTCCCGCCACTATGGTAACGCCATCTCTGAAGAAAAAGGTTAAAGAGAAAGCTTCGGCCAACGTCCATTGGATGGCGTTAGTGTAAATCTTGAATATTCCCCATATTGTTACTAATCTTGTAGGTTTTCTTGAACCTGGACAAAAATGAAAGGCTAATGCGGTCGATGTCGATAAAAGTGCGTGCGGGAAAGAAAATCGTTCGGTATAATACCTTACCTCTGGACCGATTATATTTTTTTTTTTTTTATTATTTTTTCTCTTCTACTCGTTAACACACAATCCCAAGCACTTTATCACGCACGTCATAGGAGGAAGTGTGAATCTTTCTTAAAAGTTTAAATAAAATTAAAAAAAAAAAAATAAAATAAAATAAAAAACAATGTCCCGATTTATGATTATTATTATAAAGTGATAATATATCAAAATATATAAAAAAAAAAAAAAACAAATTTAATAAGAAAAAGAATAAATAATCTTTGAAAATTTCATAAAAAATAATTGATATCTATCTTTGGGGTCTGTCCATTAAATTGGATGCTGAAGAAGATGACAAGTTGCGCGACGAAGTGTTGAGATAAGTTTAACCTTTGTACGATATGCAGTCTATTTATTGGACCGGGAGGCTGTTGTCTCGTGCGATATGGAATAGCATATCCAATTATTCGGCATGTGCTGATCCCAACGTTAACAAACGACGCGAAGCCTCATTCATTTCAGCTGTTTGTGGCTTCCCCAAAGATTTTGCACGAGGTCGTGTTAGGAAAGGACAATTTGGAGATGACGCTTGGTTCACTGCCAAATTCAAGGCTGCCGAAGTAATTGGTACGTCATTTCAATGAAAATCCTTCCTACCTTCCTTGTCATCAACATCATTGACTTCAAAATTGTTCAACGTTAATTAAACGTCACGTTTATTGTCTTGTATAACCCATTACAAATTTACTTTGACAATTAAACAAAATTTATTGCTAATGTAATTTACACTGAACTTCTAATCATGTTTTTTTTTCTTTTTTTTTCTTTTTTTTTTTTCTTTAATTAATTTTCCATTAACGGAAATGAAAGACTTTTCTTGTCTGACGCTGATTGAACTTACGCACGTCACGTGCTCGTCAGGATTATAATGGAGAGATAACATCATTCGAATTATTCTTAGCAAACTGACAGAATACTTTATTGTTATTATTTCGCATAATCTTTCGTAATAACATTTTCAATGTCTCGTTTATGCGTTTCATATGTCTTCTTGCAAAATTCCCCCCCCCTCCTTCCCCTTCCCACCACCTGTCCCCATATCTCATGCAACCTTCCTAATACTTCAATTAATTTAGTAAAAATACAACATGTGATTTATTAGGTGTAGCCGATGGTGTAGGAGGATGGAGACACTATGGAATAGATCCAGGCGAATTTTCCAGTTTTTTAATGAGCACATGCGAAAGGCTAGTCTCAATGGGCAGGTTCAAACCTTCTGAACCTGCTGGTTTATTAGCACGTAGTTACTATGAACTATTAGAAACTAAACAACCAATTTTAGGTAATCTCAAATCATTCTAAATGTTTTAACAAATAAATGAAAATACATTTGAATAATTCATTGAAATAATTTGGATGCAAATGTATGTCATCTTTAGGTAGCAGTACTGCATGTGTTATTATTCTTAACAAGGAAACAAGTAGCATCTATGCAGCAAATATAGGAGATAGTGGTTTTGTAGTTGTGAGAAAAGGCGAAGTCGTTCACCGTTCAAACGAACAGCAACATTACTTTAATACTCCGTTTCAATTATCACTCCCACCTCCGGGTCATACTGGTCTTGTTCTTAGTGACAGGTATTATCAGAATTATTTTATTCTATAGTACAATAATAATTTGATATTTTATCATTTTGTTTGTTTTTTATTATAGCCCAGAATCCGCAGATACTTCTAGTTTCGGAGTAGAAGACGGAGATGTAATATTATTAGCAACAGACGGTGTATTCGATAATGTGCCTGATCAATTATTAGTCACTGAGATGCGTAAAGTAGAAGGCGAAAGGGACCCAACAAAGTTACAGGGTGTTGCCAATTCGATAGCTTTCATGGCACGTAGTTTAGCTTTTGATGGGGCATTTTTGTCACCATTTGCTCAAAGTGCTAGAGAAAATGGTATCGACGCAATAGGTATCTATTATTTGATATCTTCATTAAACTTATTTCTTTTAGTATAGAGATACATGAAACTATATTTTTATTATTCTATGTTTATAGAGTCTAAATTACAACTAAATGATTTTATTCTTTCTTAGGTGGTAAACCTGATGATATCACGGTGCTCTTAGCAACAGTGGCAATCTGATATGAAAAAGTGTATGATAGATCGTTAATCATTGTATTATAGTCCATGTCATTGCATATATGTATCACTACATGATACATCATTATATTCCATTATAATGATCATCTATTATTTAAATTTAAATAAATGGTTTTATAAATCACCTCATATATATATATATTTGAGATATTTAGTTTCTTACATTTCATCATAAAACATGGAAATTTGAAAAAAAAAAAAAAAGAAATAGTGTATATATAAAAAGTACACATTTTAAATTTTAAATTATCAATATTTTTAGTTCAATTCTATTTCGAGTAAAAATGTAAAAACAAAATTACGAAATAGGGATATTTATCACGAATAATAATACAGTGGCTTTGTATAACCAATAACGATTAACTAAAATGTTTTTTTTTTTTTATTAAAACTTTAGTATATATTTATATATGCTATTGTTAAAGTTTCTAATTTAGTTAATTCATGAAATAACCAGGCATTTGAGAGAAAAGCATGTAAAAACAATTTCATTGCATATTAATAGATTCTTATGAAATTTTTAGATACTATATGAAATAATAATTATCGTATCATATTTTCATTATACGTAAACGCAAGTTGACTCTTAAAGATTGATCTAATTTCAATTGCATATTTTAATTTCACGTGTCTTTTGTGAATTCATTTATTATCTAATTGAAGTATGTAACTTGGCCATGTTTCATACTTTACCTGGTCGATATTAATTATTTCATGAATTAATGGATTTTACAAAATAACAGTAACATATATATATAAATATATTTCTTATTAAAATACGAAGAGAATGAAAAAAAAAATCGCTTCAAATTAAAGACTAAACTATATAAACATATTATTATATTATATATTTGAAAATTTATAATCGTAACGTTTTGGCTTTCTCATCGATAGAAATTGAACTCTAACGACACAATAATGAGATCACAAATCAAATTAATATAAATTATGACAAATGCATTATATTGTTTCTTTTACAATTTGAATACATCACAGTGTTGTTTTTTTTTTTTTTTATTATATACGAATATTTAAAAATAAAACAAATAGTTAAGATTTAATGAGCAATTATTTGGCAATAAGTAGCTTAAAAAACGATTTAGTAAATACTTATGATTACGTTTATAAAAAATGGCTTTTTCTTTTTTATTTTCCTTTGACGTACACAAAAATCTATTACTTTCAAGTGAGCATCAGTAATGACTAATGTTTTTAGGAACAATTGTTAATAACGTATATACTACAGATTAAAATTCATAGTTTCTATTTTTATGTACACATTGTTATACATATTTTGTATTTATCAATGAGTAGACTGTTGTGTGTATTTAATTGATAAAAATTCATAATAATAATCAGACTGATATTTCATTATTGTGTAAATGCATATTCTAAAATAATTATACGAGCATAAATGATGATTATTTCACAATATTTTGTCCATATTTCATGCATCCCTATTTTCATTCTTTTATTTTTAATATTAAATTGTGCAATCTCACATTAAATGTAGTGTCTTAAACAAATTTATTTAATTAGAAATTTATTCATTAATCAGAACCGTTTAACTTCTGTGATGTATTCTGTTATATTAAATCGTATGATCATCAATTTTTCTTTGCAATATTACATAAAATAAATTGATATAATATCCTAGATTATATCTATGATATATTATAAGACACGTAAGATAAACAAGAAAGATATTAATATGATAAAACATTGTTAGTAAAGATTCATACTTGTGTTTCTTTTGTTTGGTTTTTTTCTTTTTTTACAATCAGGGGTTTCAATTTTATTATAATTGTACTTTTTCAAAGATTTCAATTAATTGTCACGTAAATTAATGTTATCGAGGAATTACAGTGGAATTGAATATTCTACTAGATATATACAGTTTGACTGGTAGTTTTATTTTAAAAGTAACAACGAATTGATAATATTACTAATTCATTTGGTAACGATTGATTGTTTTTTTTTGTTTTTTTTTTTATTGCAGTAGAATAATAATTATGAACATATGTATCTAGTCCAAAGTTATATTAACATTTAAAGATAAGTATAAATAAACTTAAAATAATATATACGTAGTGTCTCTTCAACTTTACATTTAATCGATTTGTACTTTGGAATTATTTATTTTATTATTAATTATTATACTACTATAAATAAATGCTTCCACCAAGATATTTTATCACTACAAATTATTTTTCTTGATCTTTGCTTTATATATATATATATATATATATTAATTGAACAATTAAATTAATCTGATGTATAGAGACAATTGCAATGAATTAAATGAAAACAAAATTGTAACCCCTGGTAGCAGATGGAAGTTTTTGTAATACAGTCAAGCATATACGACAAATGTTTCTCATTATCTACAATTTATGTTCAAATTGCTTAATCTTTGTTAGTAAAATAGTAAAAATTGCAAAACATAATTGAAATTTCACAAATTTACAGAGAAATTCATTGATTTACTTGATATTATCAATTAACAATGGATGGCTCATGGAAATAGGGAGATGAAAAATAATTATAACATATCTCCTTGACCCCAATTGAAACCACCTGGCCGATCTTCAGGTGGTGGAGTGTAATCTGGATCTTCTGGATGTGCGTCAAACAACGTTTTTCTATATCAAATAAAAATATTTGAAGTATTTAAAAATAATATTATATTAACTCAGTATAATGAAACTAAAATTAGTTATTAGATTTGTTAATGTGTATTTGTTAAGAATTTAAAATCCTTCGTATTGTCGCACACACTTACAATATTTGTGGAGTTTTAAGAATACGAAAACCTCCCCTTATTTGTGGAAAAACATCTTCAGCAAAATAGTACGTATGCCCTACAGCCATCCCAACAAGATCTACCCAAATAGCATTACCTAGGAGTACAGAAAATCCAAGAAGTACCCAAGGCAGATATGGCGCCTAAATAAAAATCAATATATATTTACTTTTGATAATTATTCTATTTCATTTTTAAGTTTGGACAGATGATATATACCTGAAAGTTTAGAAGTCCAAAAAAATTCATTCTAACAAATGGATTACGTCTCGACCATACATACACCAACATGATTGTAAACGCATGACCCAAAAATAGTAAATTAACAAAAAACCCAAATGTCTGTTATCGTATAGGAACTGCATAGTCTCATTGTAATGAAAAAAGATTGAACGTTTGATGAGTTGTTCATGTTTTTAAACGAAAAGGATACAATCATACATATTGCCCCAAAAATAAACATCATCACAAAGTCAGCTGTTCTTCTTCGAAAAGATCCTTCTTCTAACATTCGACAATACCGGTAGGTAAATATCATATTGAAGAAGAAATTGAAGCCGACGTTTCCAAAGAATAAAAATGTTGTTATTAAACGCCATAACTAAAAATAATGATGAATCTTTTAAGTACTCCTGTACTCTCAATATGCACTTAAATGTGTTTATCCATTTCTTTTGATTATTTAATAAGAATTGAGATATAATATATATATATATATATATTTAACTGTGTATATTATTTACCTGATATTGTTTTATTATTAAAATAGGATTGAAGTAGAGTTGAAACGGCGAAACTAAATCTAATTGCTGAAAGGGATAATAAAGTCCTATAACCTCATTATCCAATGTTTCACAAATAATAATAATATGATATAACACGTGTAAGAGCTTTACGAACCACGGCAAGAGTTGTGATGACACAAGCTGTAGTATAAGCTCGTGTTACCACAGGCATTTGCAGGTACTCCTGCCGAAATGTTTGATAGGCCATTGGTGTGTCAAACTTTGAAAGTTTGATAATTTTAACACCTTACGACCACTTTTTGTTTATTTCTCCCAACTTCGTCACCCCCTTGTTCCTTTTTTTTAGTATTCTTTCTCCATTACATGATGCTCAACAACGTTGGGTTATCTAAATTTTATCGCTGTCCACATCACGACGAATTTATTACGTATATACAAAATAAAATTGTACACGTAATACGTGAAGCTCGCTACGTTTCCGTTAATATCAACTCGTTTGATTTCGATTATGCTTCAAATATATCGATAACAACTCTAAACTCATTTACATCCACGAGTTCATCGATCAAATTCATCGAGGCAAACTTAATCTTACCGTCCATTCACCATTTAACACGACTCATCCTAGTCGTGGACCAATCAACGCTACGCATTACATTTATCACTATATTGATATCAATTCTGATTGGTCGATAACATCGATTGTAACTAACTTCATGTAAAATGTTTCTATCAATGCATATTTACAAAATATTTTCATAAAGTTGGTATTACACATGACAAGACTTTTCGAAAATGCATAGAACATTTGTTTTTAGTATTTTATTATAGTTACATTTGTCGATTTAATATTGCCTAACCTAACTATCGATTTCATAGTCAAGCAAGACAGACTTCGATAAAAAGTATGCGATTGATTGTTTCATTGTGAAATTATTATGAACATTTTTTTGAACAATTATTTATCATTACATTTATGAATTAACTATCTCTTATTTATTTCATATTTAAACCATTGTAATAAAACAAATGGTTTAATAAATAATAATACATGATAAAAAGAATTAATCAAAGTGTTTACAAGAGACATGGTTTTAACTAAAGAATATCGAATATGTATGCCTCTAACTACAGAAGAGGTAAAGTATTTGTCATAGTTTATAAATATTTTTCTATTACTATTTTTAACTAATCTTTTTTTTTTATGCAGTATCGTATTGGACAACTTTATATGATAGCAAGACATAGTCATGAACAATCAGATTCTAATGACGGTGTTGAAGTTATTGAAAATGTTGAATGCGAAGATCCTGAACATGGAAAGGGTCAATATACAGAAAAAAGAATTCACCTGTCAAGGTAATTAACAAATAATCTATTAATCTGACAAATACGTGATTTGGTTGAAAAGTATTGAGCCCAAGATATAAAACATATTTTTTAATATATTTCTAATTATTATTATCATTTTTTAAAATTATATTTCAGTAAGCTTCCCTATTGGGTTCAATCAATTATACCAAAAATATTTTATGTCACAGAAAAAGCCTGGAATTATTTTCCATTTACAATGACAGGTAAATAAGCTCTTTATATTTATATACCGTTAATTATTTTTTTTTCCTTTCTTAGATTAATAACTTATTGTTGAAAACAAAATCTCATTTGTTTTAATGCGTTTCTTTTCTTTTGCATTTGTATGGATGACGCGACTGTAGTGTATACTGTAAGTATTATCATTTGAATTCAATTAAAACATTTTATTGTTAACAAATTGTACATTTTGCAGTGTTCCTTTATGCCTAAATTTAATGTATCGATAAAAACCAGATACGAGGATAACAATGGTTCTACGGAAAATGTATGTACTTTATTTGATTAATTTTAATATTAATAAAATGCATAATCAATTTTTTAATGAAACGTGTTTGTTAATATAAATATGAAACAGTGTTTAGGTTTATCTCCAATCGAACTTATACATCGAGAAGTCGATTATATTGATATTGCTTATGACGAAATATCTGCTAAACATTACAAAGAAGAAGAGGTATAATTTATACAACTGTATATAAAACAAATTTCTACGATACAGGATGATTCTATATATATATATATATTAAATATTATATTTTATTGATAATAGGATCCAAAGTTTTTCCAATCAAGAAGAACAGGTAGAGGTCCACTAGTCGAAGGTTGGCGTGATACCGTACAACCGATTATGTGTTCCTATAAATTAGTTAATGCTTCCTTTGAAGTGTGGGGTATGCAAACTCGGTTAGAAGATTTCATACAAAGGGTAATTCATCATATTTTTCCTTCCTATTTTTCTTTTTTTTTATTATTGTCAATTTAATCTACAATACAATTTGTTATATATGAATGTTTTATATGTGTATTTGCATGTTAAAACAGTGCATAAGAGATATTTTACTATTGGCACATCGGCAAGCATTCGCCTGGATCGATGAATGGTACGATATGAATATCGAAGATGTTAGAAAATACGAGCAGAAAATGCATGCTGAGACTAATGAAAAAATGAGAATAAAAAATGAAGCAAATGAAAATTCATCTAAACCGGCAACCCCGTCATCTTCGGTTCCTTCGTCACCTAAATCACCAACGCAATCAAATCGATCATGGTTTTCTTGGTCATAGTCGATTATTTTCAAACAAAAGGTTTTATCCCACATTCAATTAGATGGTCCTGTAGCTACAGTACAAATTGTGCAAATGAACCCTTAGCATTTTTATGTACATGTATATATATATATATATATATATATGTATACATGCTTCAAAGATATTAACGAGTTATCATAATTGCTTTAATTAAGATAGTATCCGTCAAATCTCAGATAAATAGTATTTTTTAGCACTGATGCCATAAAATGAAGAAATATCTTGTTTTCTTATTTTTTTGTTCCTTTTTTTTTAATTCTATTTTAAATTTGTGCACAAATATTACGTAATGAATGTTGTTGATGATGACATTGGAAAAAAAAAAAGAAATTAATTTATAATACGTTACGCTGTCCGTAATTTTATTATGAAAACAAAAAAAAGAAAAAAAAAAAAAATTCTTACATTTCAATGTTTAAGTTCTAATTTAAATTTATATGTTTTTCTGATAGTTATAGAATAATATGTGTTCATTGGATTGCTACTTAAAAACATACATGACTTTTTATTGTTATCACTGATTATTGTTGCATCGTCATTTCCTACATTGTAATAGAGAAATCAATGTCTAATTACTATATATACTGAATTTGCACAGTAAAGAATTGCATAAGCAAATGTAAAACGTTGTGAGTAATATTTTAATCTACATACGAAATTTATTTTATTTTTTTTTTATAAATGGAAAAAAAAGTTATTGCATTTCGTTGGGACCAAAAAAAAAAAAAAGAAATACTTCAAAGTAATCTTTGAGTTTTGAATATGAATGTTTTTAAAATAACATCAATGTGATTATAAATTATAAAAGAATTACGTTCAGAGCGTATTTCTTATTATTATATTATATAAAATTAAAAATGAATGTCTTTTCTCTTAAATCCTATTTTTTAAAACATTACCGTCCGACTTAACGTTTATTATAAGAATATTTATGTATTCATTTTAATAAATTAAAATATTTTAAAAGAAATGAATAATACTTTGCATAATATTATATACCACATGTAGTTATATGTAATAATAAATGATAACATAGTACTCTAATATTATCGACAGTGTACAACACCATCTATGAAACATGATTTCACTCTTATCGACGGCTTGGCTGGTAAACTTGTACTCTACCTTACCGATCATATTTTTAAAAATCTATTGCATCAAAGTTGCATTTTCTTTTTTTTTTATCTTTTAAACAGAAATTTGAGACATTTGATAAAAAATAAAGCAGATAAATTTCTTTTAAACAGATTGAGACATTTGATAAAAAATAAAGCAGATAAATTTCTTTTAAACAGATTGAGACATTTGATAAAAAATAAAGCAGATAGACATTTTTATTATAAAATATCGGTAAATCAATAATGTTTTATATGTATTGCAATAAAAAAAAACATGAAATTTATATTAGTACTAAACACGTATGCATTAAATTTGTTCACGAAAATTCTAAACAATATTATTAGATAATGTATATTAAATAGAAAAAACGGATTAAAAAATAAATCAATAATTGACAAAGTCATTTCATACGTTGCTTCTAATTTGTCGATTGGTATGTGAAATAAGTGGATGCAATCTATCAGCGGTAGGCCAATGTAAAGGTGCAGTAGCAAGAGTATTAGTCATTTCACCAGCATTAACTAAAAAATAATTATAATTAATTTTAAATATAATCATTGTATACAAATTTCGTTGTCATTTAACGTACACCGATTGTAATTATCCGTGAATCTTATAAATGGACATAAAACAGGTAATTCATTTAGTCTCGTTGATTCTTCCAGTTGAGTTTCTTGTTGAATTTCCTAAATTGAATAAAATATATTTAAAAAATTGTTTAGAACAATTCAATTGATTTTCAATTACATTTTGATTATTTTCATTGGTTCTTGAGATGGTTGTCGATTCAAAACGACGATTATCATTAATTCGTAATTGTTTAGGTGCTTCAGTAATTAACTCTTTGAATCGTGCAGCAACTTGTTTCCATTTCAATAAATCACTTGGCTATTAAATTAATTTTAAATATATAATAATAATAATAAAAATAATAATTCTAATCTTTAATTAATATTATTAATGTTATATTATATATTTTATTAATATTATTTCTATAAATGAAAAGATTGTACTTTTAACGCGAAGAATACAGGTAAAAGAGTAATGGGTAATGGTGATCCTTGTAATTCTGTTCTTTCTGAAGGTGGTCCAGATAGTGTCAAATATCTAATTAAGTTTAGAAGATCAGCCAAAAGTTCGCTATGACGTCCACTGATATCTTGTCTTATTAAACCAAGTGCATCTCTTGCTACTACTCCTGCAGTTACTCCTGGATTATCGGCTAATTAAACATAATAATATTCATTATTTTATCTTATATCGAGTTACACGACGTTTCTTAACAGTTTCTTAACAAACTTCTTACGAAATGTTTGCAAACTCATTTTCATTGACGTACCATTACGAAATGAAGGAGTTTGATATTATTTCGTTCTCATTTATTCTGTAACTTTTGCTGACTTTAGAATGTTGAAATAATATGCAATGTTACCTTATTTATTATTTGTAAAACATGACCGCTGATTTATATAAATCGAAATATTTGGAATTCGAAATGATTTCGTAAGAAATTTTTTTTTTTTTTTTTTTTTTTTTACTAATAACCTAAAATTAATTCTTGAATGTGTTTCGGTATGACGGGTTTCTTCAGACGAGTTAAAAAAAGTTGCAAGGCTGCAGCACATTCCAAAGCAACGTCATCACCTAAATCCAATTGCGATGGTTTTTCACCTTTGTTTAAACAATTCAAAATTCGACGTCTAAATTTACGACGACCCGATCTACGAAATAG